TTAAGAGTAAAATACAAACAATTATAAAATACTTCTGCTTTACTTAGAGGGAGCAATAGAAAGAAATGCAAAATGCATTATTCAGCTATTTCCCCTAGCTTACATTTTTTTTTCATTACCAGAAAACCCTACTTCTTCTAAACTAGCCTCTGAACACAACCTTCAAAAAATACAATTTTCCTATTATCTCTTTAAATAACGAAAAGTTGTCCTTACATGATTGCTAACAGAAAGCAATGCTATTGGCTCGTTTTCATATACTTTTATCTTCAAAACAGCTGTTAAGTAGCACAGTACATTTATTCTGTTCCAGATCAGTGTACACAGACTTAGTCACCTTCCAAAGCAATCAGAGATCTGAAGCCCTAGAACTGGTGCCTTGAACAACAGCAACCTGTAACACTCGTTTTTCAGTCTGTTGGCTGCAAACCCATAGGATGTCTACAAGTATTTGCTGTGAGTTGATTAAATTAAACTAAATATACTTTTCTCACTGTTTTATATATAAAGGCAAATATTTCAGTGTTAAGACATTCCACAGGTGAAAAAAATCTGGAAACCAAAGTGATAGAAAGAGCTATTCTGTACTACACTTAAATAAAGAAGTAGAAACAAATCAAGTTCCAAGGAAATGCACACAATTGCTATGTAGTCTTTACCACAACACAAAAAAGTCCTCTGTGACAAGCAGAAGCTTTTCCTATTTAAACTGCTTCATCACCTTACCAACTAAAACTTTTGCAAAGGGGAAAGAAACAAAACTCCTCTGCAGTTCTTCGTGCAAGCTTACACCCTAGAAACCTTTCCAGAGGGGCGCCAGTTGAGAAGAGCTGACTGAAATCAAGGAATCCTTCAAAGAAATGGCCCTTCGAGCAGCTGTCGAACAGCTCGGCCGGGTCCTGCAGCAGCTCCGCGCACAGGGAAGAGGCGACTCAGAGCAGAGCGCCACGCGGCTCCTCCTGCCCTGAAGGAGCCCGGCGGGGCCGCCCCGTGTTCCGGCCCCGCAGGCCTCCGAGAGGCACCCTGGGCGCTCGGTGCTGCTCCGCGGTGCCAGCCCGGCTCTGTCAGCTGGGGCCGCAGCAAAACCGGGGCTGTACAGGAGCAGCAGCAGCACCGGCGGCAGGGCCGGGCCCCTCGGCTGCGTCCCTGCCGGGGGGTGAAACCCGCGGGCCGCGCGGCTCTCCCGCGGCGCTCGCGAACCGCAGCGGCCGGGAATCGGCTGGGAATCTCCCTGGGACCCCCCACCCCGCCCGCGCCGCCCGCGCTCCGCACCCGCCGCCTCCCGCCGCGGCTCTCGCCGAGCAGCGCCCGCGCACGGCCGGGCAGCGGCCCCGGCCAGCCCCGCTCCGCCACCGCAGCCAATCCGCGGGCCCCCTGTGCCGGTACAGCCAATCCGCGGCCGCCGCCGTGCCGGCACAGCCAATCCGCGGGCCCCGCCGTGCCGGCACAGCCAATCCGCGGCCCCGCCGTGCCGGCACAGCCAATCCGCGGGCCCCGCTGTCCCGGCACAGCCAATCCGCGGGCCCCGCCGTGCCCCCCCCCCGCCGTGCCGCAGATGATGTAACCCGGCTCCACGTTGCAGCACAAAATGCTGGGCTGTACAAATTACAGCGTTAACAGCCGTCTTGTCTAGTCCCGGACTAGTCCAGACAGCCCTACCCAGGGCACGGGCTGCTGAGCCATCTCCCTCAGCCTCCTTCACCTGGACTCGCTCTGTTCTCACATGTCCGCAGACAGCAGATGAGAGGGCTGTGCAGCCACACCTGTGAGAGCGGCTTTAGCTCCTCTTTGTAGAGGGTTTGTAGCACAAACCCCTCCACAAGGGCGAGAGCGCTGGCCTTGGTCTTCACTTTACCTCCCTTTATCCCCTTTGCATTCACTTCTAAATTAAGAGAATCACAGACTCATTTAGAACTGTAGGATCTCCTGAGCTGGAAGGGACCCACAAGGACCATCCAGTCCAACTCATGGCCCTATCCAGGACACCCCAACAATCCCACCCTGTACCTCAGAGCGTTGTCCAAACGCTCCTGGAGCTCTGGCAGCCTTGGGGCCGTGCCCCCTGCCCTGGGGAGCCTGTTCAGTGCCCGGCCACCCTCTGGGGGAAGAACCTTTTCCTGAGATTCAACTTAAACCTGCCCTGTCACAGCTCCAGCCGTTCCCTCTGGCCCTATCACTGCTCTCAGGTAGCAGAAATCGGAGCTGCCCCTCTCCTGCCCCTGGAGAGGAAGCTGCAGACACTCTGCCCTCAGAGCTTTCCTCACATCAAGGCTATTTCATATATACAATCACCTCCATTGCTCTTCCTCCACCTGCCCAATTAGCCCAGATAGAGTACAGCGTATCACCCGATATGCTGTACAGAACTGACAAGAGGACTCAAATTTGGACAAAACAAGGATTTATATAGTGGCATGTTTTTTTTTTATTCTGCATTCATTCCTTAAGTGGTAATTTCTACCATTCTGTTTGCTTTTTGACTTTCACTACAGCTTGAACTGACTTTTCACAGTGTCTCTCAGGTGTTTTCTTCCCTGGATGTTGCAGAAAAACATAAAAATAGCATTGCTTTCATATTCCTACTAACACAACATGCAACAAGAACAGCTGAAAAATTACTGAAGCTAAGCCTGAAAGATGCTCAGTTTGCTATTGAATGCAGTTTTTATAACAATCCAGTCCAGAGTAGTTTAGAAGAGCAAGGTAATACAGCAAACACAGAAATAAATCAGTAAAGCAGTTTGCACAACAGAAATATTCACTGACACAAACATGGAAAAGGTAATGTAGTTTCTGAAGTGACCAAACATAAATACTTTACTACAGACCAGGGAAAAAGAAAACTTTATTTTAACCCTTTGTAATTGCTTCTCTCAGTATCCTCAAGCAAATCTGGGAAGAGAAAGAAGGTAAACACTTCCAAGTATCCATCAATTTTAGAGTACAGAGTCAGCTCAGGTATAAGCATTTATGCAAATATTTGAGATATTATTGATTTAAGAAAATAAAACTGACTTCATAGCACAGAGACAGTTGCCAAAGGCTTTTGGTAAACCGTGTAAGCTTTGCTCATTAAGTCTCCTTTATCTACACTTTTATTAGTTTTTTCAGAGGGCCATCAGGTTACTTAAAAACCCCTCTAATCTGATCCTGTTCTGTCTACTGTGAAGAACACTATGTGAAGAACACAGGCTTATCACCAAGTCAGGTCAAAACCGAGGTAGTGACTCTTGGGTGTCAGGCAAGCCTCAGGTGGGTTCAAATGTTTTCTTTGGGCACTGAGAACTCTCATAAGGAGTCACAAGAGACCACCAGCAAGGAAAGCAAACCTCCAGAAGAGCAGCTCTGCTCTCACAGGGCCCCGGGGGGAGGAGGCCCCTGCACCTCCAGCCAGCCCGTCTGGTGCTCGCAGGGGACCGAACTGCGACTCCCGGACACTGCTGCAGCACCGGGACCGCGACACACCGGGACCGCGAGCCTCAGCGGCTCCGGGAAGCCTGCGGGCTCCGGGAGAAGGGCGGAGAGGATGCAGGCCGACAGCGACAAGGCTGAGCCCCTCTCCTCTCCCCCGAGCCCTCATCCCTCGGCCGCTGCCGGGCCCGGCGCGGGTCGGGAACGGGCAGCACCGGCGGACGGCGGGCACGGCCCAGCTCTGCTCTGCCCGGCCCGGCTCTACTCACCGCCCGGTTCTCCCCGGCTCGGCTCGGCCCCGCTCTGCCCTGCCCGGCTCCCCTCAGCCTCAGCCTCAGCCTCAGCCGCCGCCTCACGTCGCTTCCGGCCCCGCCCGCGGTCTCTGCAGCTGCTCCTGCTTTGAAATCCAAAAATGCATCTTCCAACAATCGATGGTCAAGCTTAGAAGGGACTTTGAAGATCATCCAGTAAAGATCGTCTTCACTCGGACAGCGTAAAACCAGACCTACTGCCGCAAGAAGGGCGCGCTGGACAGCTGGCAGTGCTGGCAGCAGGGACATTGGCACAGCGCTGTCCCGGCCCTTCCCACGGAGTACAAACACTCCCTCCTGAGCATCCGACACACGAGCCTGCCCGGTGTGTGACAATGACACACCGTGCCTGACCCTGGATTGCAAAGGAGGCTATTTAAGAGCAGGCAGTGGGGATAGAACCGTGACAAAGTAAACACTGTCACAGGAAACTGCAGATTCTAAGTGCACATCCATTGCTAGGACATGGCTAGAATCTGAACAGGCCTTAATTCAGGTTAGAACAGGTTATGGACAAGCCTCTTTCCAGCTCCATTTCTTGCAATGACAAAATGTCAGAGGAGCCAAACACGAGCTAGAAAATATGACATGTTGGAAGTTGGGGTATGGCAGAGAATTACAGTATAAGGTGATGCATTCTTACAGTACTTCATGTATTTGCAGCTCATAGATGAACAGTATCTCTGTAGTCACACTTAATTCAATTATCTCAATAATGCAGAAAAGAGGGATGCCAGATCCTTTTCATTCAAGCTATATCCTGACACACTTGCAACGTGACTTTTGGGAAGTTTCTCCAGCTAACCCCTTGTTAATTCAGTGACTGTCACCTGTAAATTAATTTTCTAGATTCCACAGATCAGGGGCATCAGAGGACAGGGGACACACTACAGATGTGTTCCACTAAAAGCTTTGCGAAGGCACAGCTGAGAAGCCACATCTACCTAAAAATCCAAGTTTGTTGCTGCTGGTAGCAGCAGCCCTGCATAACACTGGAACACAAAGTGTTCAGAGCAGCCTGCACGGGCTGCCCCAGAATCAGAATCCATGGAAGCAGCAGACACTTGCATGGAATTCTTTCCCAGCTAATAAACCATGCAAACACTCACAAAGGTAAATATGTGAAGTTACCCCAAAATCTGCATGTTTGGTTTTATTTTGATTCGTGTTACGTCCCTTGATACCCTGACTAATTACAAGGTTTTCAGTTTATTTTTGCACTCTTTTTTTAAAGATTCTAATGAGGGAGAGTAACAAATTTGCTACACGCAGTTCATGTACAAAAGCAACCAATACATTTTATTAATGGTAAGCTCTGATCATCCTGCCCTCTATTGATTCCACTGGAGTACTTGGCATCATATGGGGCAGATTTTTCCATCATCTGAAGAATTTAAGATAAAGAATAAATCCTTTGCTAAAAAACATACTTTCATCCAACAACTTCCTTGAACAATTGATCAGCTTTCCCGTGTGATGGAATGGGGCAGACCAGAAAGTCAGGACATGCCCTTCAACTTTGAAAGCAATAAACTTGGTCCCAGAGACTGAGCCAGAGGTAAGCTTCAGTCTAATAATACATCTAAAAATTCTTCCTAAAATTGTCGATTTTTTAACTTTAGAACCATTCACAACTCCCTCTGATGTGCCACTGAGAACTCCAGTGGCTGTCATTTTCAGTTCGGTTTCACTGCACTGATGTTCACAGGTGGCACATACAGAGAACAGGGCCATGAGAGGACCCAGGACAGAAGCTGGTCCCATGGCTTAATCCAAGAACAGAAGGCACACAGGTATTATAGGCACAGTAAAAGAACCTGAGAAGAAAAGCCTATGATCCGGGTCATATTCGGAATGTACCAATTCACTTACTGATTTTAAGTACAGGCCCCATCTATTTTCAAAAGCAGAGAATACTAGAAATTATTAGAATAAACAAAAAACAGCCAGTCAGATCAACCCTGTAACTGCTTTCTAAATTCAGTGCCACCTTGAATGGGAAAAAGATGTCAAATGGGAGTTTCCAGTGCCTTTGGGGCTGGCCCCGGGGTGGTTCTGGCCACTCTGTCATGTCAGTGAAGGTAACCACAGTTGTCACAGGTACCGTCTGTGTGCTCAGGAGCTGCAACAAGAGGGAAAGCACAGTTTAGCAGACAGTGCAAAATATACATCCCCCCTCAACTTTCTAATGGACACCCACCACGGATGACTGGCAAGGAAGATGTCTTTACAATGGTAGGAGTTAAGTGTCTAAAGTTTTCAGTGACCGCCTTTCCCCAAATTGATACTTAGCAGGTAAATTGAGGGCACAGGAAAGACCAGTAGCTACTGTGCATTGTATGTTACAGATCTCCAAAGTGGCAGCAGTGACTCAAGCTCTGCTAGAGCAAGCCTTCTACTCAGAAGTGAGACATATCAGCTAGCTAGTAATAAGAACAGAAGCAAAGCTAGCTTTATTTTTTATAAAATTATAAACTGTATGTAAGATAAGATCACCTGGCCCTTTGGACAAGTGTTTGCTGCCAGAAACAGACAGAACCACCACAAGATGAAATCCTTTCAGTAAAATATCAATAAAATAAAGCAGGGACCCAATACAACAATAAATTTATTTCTCACGTTTGAGGATGTTGTTTCAGAAAGGAGGCAGATGGGTAAAGATGGAAGAGGGGACTGAACTTCTAAGGCCTCAGTTCTTTTCTGTTTCAACAGAATGCTGCAAGACAACTAATACACTCGCTCCTTCAGCTGTGGGGAGTTTCATGGCTACCCTGGGCTGATTTAAGAACATGCTGCTGCCAAAAGAGCAAACTCGCTCCCTGCCCCATTCCCCAGCCCTGCATGCTAACATAGAGACAGAAGCTCCTGGCAGCACACCTGCCGTGCCTGCACTACTTCAAGTCAGCCTGTGAAATCACCACACTTCCCTGAGAAGAATCTGGAAGACTGCATTAAGAGCAAAGTTCTGTAGGAAGCATTCAAAAAAGCTGCAAAGCAGAATTCATGACTCTTAAGACAAAAATACTGAGACTCCTCTTGGGGAATTTTTGTGGTACCTCTCACAGCAAATTAAAAAACACTGGTGTGCTTAAACAGAAAACAAAACCAGAATGAACAATGCATTGGGTACAGTCCTACTGCAGCACATGGATCTACATGGGGTCTGCAGAGATGCATCACAAGCAGATTCCTTCTGTACACTTCCACCAACAGCACCAATCCTGGGAGCACCAGGGAGTCCATCCCCCAGCCCAGCTCTGCTGTCCAAAGGTGGCTCCTGAGCATTCCCATTCCAGAATGGCTACAATACAAAGCTGAGGCTGTTTCTTATCTCATCACCTGGAAACTTCACTCGCTTGCAAAGTGTCCTAGCATTCCTGCTTCCTGGCAGCTCAACCCCTTCTTGCCCTCCCTGCCAGATCAGTCCTCGGCTACAAACTACCACTGCTGAGCAGTTACAATTAGAATTTTCCCCTCCCTTCTGATGAATGTTAAGTGCTCCTATCAATGAGTAAACACATAGGAGGTCCAATTGCCTTAGTGAATGAGAAGCCTCAAGATGATCGATTTTGTGTCTGGACCATCAAAATCTGCCTTAAAATCAGAGAGATTAGTGCAGGGAAAAAAGCCCATATACAACCCCTGCTCAATAGCAGGGAGAAGGCAACCACAAGAAACTTCCAGCATTCTCTTGTAGAGCTCTACATCACTTACAGAACGCCCTGTATTTTCAGGGAGTCCAAATATACAACTGTGACCAGATACTGTGGATGGGTGGAGAAATCAGGATGTCTTTCCTGGGTTCTGTTTTCTAGTCAGTCACTTAGGCATCTGTAGTGAATGCAGTGTGGTCTAAAGGAAAAGGTTTTCTCCAAAGAACAGTTAAATGAACTAAAGGACAGTTCTTACAGAGAGAATATGTAGGCTAAAACTGGGAAGTGACATAACTTGAAAGTCCAGCAACATGCAGCACACATTGGTGATCTCACTGCTGTGCTTGCAAATGGCTGCAATTCCCAACTGCTGCCTATGGTACCAACTCACTCCTCTGCTAAAATGTCTTTACTAACAATCCTAATTTGTGAGTTACCACTGATGAAGTTGGGACTGATTTTATTGGCAACACACCTTACAGCTCTAAAGGAATTACATCAGTTGCTCAAGCAAATGAAATCAGAATCTCATTCTTCTTAATTAGCTAATCCTTACAGAGGGATATGTACTCTGCACTTTTACTAGCAGCACAAGTCTTTCTCCTCAGACAGAAGTTTTGTTAATGAAGTCATATAACAGCTCAGATTTAGAGAGTATTTTCATGGGTGTCAGTTTGCCTCACGCAATGAGTTTTACACAGTGAACATTTTCCTATCCTGTTCTCTTCGTGTATTTTGCAAGAAGGGAGGACAAAGAGGTACCATGAGTTGCATCAAAACAAGTGATGTAAAGTCTTATTCAGACTTGAGTCTCAAGACCATTTGATTCCTTGGTTCTTAAGCAACCTGTAAATCCCATTTAATTACCTCTGTGTGTGAGGGAGGGGTTTTAATTCCATACCTTCAGGGGCTGACACTGGTAAAAGTATCGTGCACCCAGTATTTGAGCTTGTGGGTTGGACAGGAGGCCCACTCTAGTCCACAGTATCTGAATCTCCAGGGTCACAGGAACCATGCAACAGGAAGAGCAATTCACAGCCTGAAAATAAAATATACTCCAATCAACTTAATATAGTTTTTTCAAAGTGAAAAAGGACCATTATGGTCCAAGTCTAATATTTTGGATAGCAGAGGTCACTTCAGCACTAACTCCCTAACTTTTGGTCAAGTCAACCACCCCTTTTGGAGCTATATCCATCTCACTTTCAAACAGAATTTGTCTCAGCTGTACCACTTGGATTTTGTATTCCATTAGGCCATCTGACAGATTAATAATTATTAATATAAAAGTACTTTGGTTGCAAACTTTTAACCTTATTAGGTGATACATAAATATCCCTAGAAAATGGAAAATCAGAAAGGATGATAACAATAAAAACATCAAATTAATAGCAAGTAACCAGGTACTATTAGTTCTAGAAGGCTGCCCGAAAACTATGTAATACAACACTGGATTCAGCATTAAACTCTTTTTGCCCATTTAGATAGGAGGAACAGGATTCAAGAGATATGAAATCTGTCAGGGTTTGTTGGGGTTTCTTTTTTAAGTACCCTAACAGTATGAACCTTACAGGCATTAAGACTCCTAAGAGTCAGAGGACCATCACACAAAGAAAGTCCAGATGCCCACACTTCCCTGAGGCAATACAAAGATATGAAAGGAAAAATACTCCCAGCTGGTCTTCTTGCATTCATATTACCTGCACACTGCAGCTCTGAACCAGAATGGTTGTCCACTCTTCAGGCTGGGTTGAATGAGCACTGCCAATTATAGCAAGGTCCCCTGTTTTGTTCATGCCCTGAAAAGCCTTGTATAACTTCTGCTGGATGTAACTGCAGTTACTCTCTTCCAGTAATGGGGACAGGCTGTAAATGAGAAAGTAACAGCTTTGACAAAGTAATTTCCAGGACAAAAACCCCACTATCAACATCCTGCCCTTGTAGTGAGTATTTCTTCTGCTCATGTAATGAGTCAACAAGTATTGCTATTAAACAGATGCAGTTTCAATCATCTCTGCAATGAGAAGGGAGAAAAATATGGCAGGTAATGCATGATCAGGAAAACTGACAGCTCTTCAGCCACCTTATCACACCAGTGGTCCTACACCTGCCCTGTCAAAAGAACAATTGAAATCATCAAAATAATTCACTCGTCAAATATAAACTCTACTCCTGTCCAAGACATATTGTCAGACTACAGCCTCATGACGTCCCAGAAGGCTTTCACAACGTTCAGGTTATTCTAGTGGTCCCCCACCTCTCTGATGTCCAAGCTCTCTTAGGAGGATATGGAAGATCTGCAGAGACCCGCTGGTAAACTCAGGGAAGGGCCCTGACTCCACAGCACTGCATAACAGACATGCTAAGTGAGTCCAGACCTTCTGAGTGTGTCAGGAAGGACAAGTGCAGAGGGTGTTACCTGAGGTTGCAGCCTGTTCTCATGTTCCTTCTGAATTGCACTGTGTGTCTGAGGAACTGTGAGCAACTCCCATCACTTTCACTCTGTAAAATGCTCATCTGACAGACTGCATGTCAAGGAGCCAAATAAAAGCATAAACAGACAGTATAGGACAATCCACTCAGCCCACATTCCTCCTTTTCCCTATCAGAGGGCTGACAAGAGAGTACTGGAAGTCAAGAAACTCAGTGATAAATAAAAACTGGTAGCAGAGAAAGGATACATGCTGCATGGCACCACTGTTTGCAATCAACAGTGGTGCTCCAGTGATATAGCCAGGGTTTCCACTTCTGGGCAACATATGAGAGAGGGTCTTGGTCTGCAAAGATGCAAAGGGAAGAAATAGAAGAAGAGGAAAATATTGGCACCAATGAAATCCATTCACCTCCCAAGATCAAATTCATATTCTCAGAAATGTTAAGTGTAAGCCTTTTTTTGAATGACTGAATATTATGCACTACTAAAACTCCCATTATTTGTTTCCAAAGTATCTTTCTTACCCGGAAAGTTCACTTGCAGTCCAGGAGGTAAAAACTAAATGTCAGTACCTGAAATGAGGATACTATCAGGAAAGCTCTCAGGACAATGAATTCCTATTGCTCAGCATTTGTGTCCGAGGAAGTGAACAAATCAGTCTGGGCAATTCTACAGATGAACTGCAGAACAAACCCTGCCTTGACCCTGACTCTTAGTGGCACATTCCACTTCTAAATTGTTTTATGGTGAGAGCCTCTGGGGCCAACTTCAACAAGGTTGCTTTGCATACTTATCAACCCCTGAGGTCATCACTTACCCAACTTTACATCCCTCTATGGGACAAGATTTATGTGAACTTAACACACATTAGCATTTCTGAGATCTCCACCCCCTCCAAAGTAACTCTCTTTTCTGCTGCACAGGCAAAGTTAAATAAGTACCTGGAATAAATTTAGCAACTTTGTTCACTGAACACCTCAGATAAAGCAATAGCTTCAACCCTTTCCTTCACAAAACCATGCTGGTGACTCCCTTCCACCCCCCCAAAAAAAAAAACCAACCACAAAAAACAAAAACACCCAAACCAAAACAATAGCAAAAAAAAAATCAGATAAAAACAATCAGCCCCTTGAAATTTGTGCAATGCAGGACTGCACTTGAGCTTGCACTGGGCCTGAATTTTTCTACTAGCATGGTTTACTTAAGACCAGAAATGCATCCCCTCCTGCCTTCAACTACCATCTGCATCCCAGGGTTCTGTTACTACTCTAAGACAGTGACACTGCTCCAATATCTTCAGATCTCATCTGTATCAAAATCGGTCAGGAACTACAGACTACAAGCTTGGTAAAAGCCCAGGGAGGATGGGGGCACTGACCCAGAAGTGCAAAGTGAAGCGCTGCTGCAGAGAGGATCCAGAGTTCCCAGAGATGTTGCTCACTTTGAACTGGACAGAAACACTCTGAATCCCACTCGTGCCACTGTATTCTATCTCATAGATCACCTGAAAGCCCAATTCAGAGGAAAGTCAGAGACAGAGCAAGGTCATAGGGCAATGACTTTGTGTTAAGCTGCACAAAGGAGATTCACCTACCTCAGAAACCACGTTGATACATGTGTTGTCTCTCATCTGGGGAGCTCCAGGTGGTGCAACTGCAGTGACATTTACCTGGAGACAGGAAACACATGAGCAATTATTAATTGTTTAAAAGGAGTGTGCATTCTTTACTCTTTTCCACTATTTTTCCATCCAAGCCAGGTTTACCTCCTTGCTGTAGCTGTGATCTGTGGGCACATTACCCTGCTCCAGATGGCCCAATTTTTTCCCAAGAAAACAAGCTACCTCCCTGACTTTAGCCCATTCATTTAAAAGTACATCCTTCCTTATATCCCCATTTTTTTTCTATAATATCACACTTTTGTCAAAAAAAAAACCCCACAAACTTGTCTCAGACACAGCACATTCCCATTCTCCCAAGTTCCCAACCCATGGACATTTCTATGAATGCTTAAGATTCCAAGTATGTCTTATTTCAGAAGTAGAAATTATTTTCATTGGAAATAGAGACTGACCTTCATGGACTGCACAATGGTGCCACTAACTGGGACCTGGGGAAAACAAACAAACCACTATATAACACCAAAAAACCCCAAATAAATTTCTGTGTTTGCAAGTGCCTGAAGTCATGAAATCATCACTAAACAGAACCTACATATTGTATTGACAGAATTACTTGGTTTATTCCAGATGTATAAAACTTGTCATCATTTTGTGATCTATAAATCACAGACCTAATCCACAAAATGCATTTTAGAACATCAGAAGTCAAATTTAATCTTGGCCTTGCTAACGTCCTGCAAAATGCAGATACTTTGAAGTATCGTATCTCTGATCCATTCCTGGAATTCCCTCTTCTGCCATCAAGTAATTACTGTAGCTTCCAATTAAGGAAAAACTGAATTTTGGCCACAATGACAAAGAAAGCCCTGAAAACATGAGTTAAATCTGATCAATAGAATACTCTCTACTGCAGTTATGCTGATTTACATTTCCAATATAAGGGGAAACAGAGTTATCAGCATTAGTAAGGAGTTCATATCTACAGTGTTGTTTTCTCATGGAACATCAGAGAAACTCTAGAAGGCAAGAGGAGATATTTTCATATAAATATTCAGTAAGACCAGCACGATGAACCCAGAACAGTAAACCCGTTACTCTGAAATTAAATCAAAATAAAGAGTGGAGAAATTGATATGGAATTCAATCTATGACTGTAAACAGAGCTAATATTGATAAGGGGCCTTCAATATGATTTTAGAGGTAACATACTGTGTAAAACAAATCCTCATTCTTTACTGAGAACATGCACTACTTGGTTGATCAAGCTGATGGAACAGAAAGGAATACTTTGAAAAATAGTCAGTTTAAAATGCAAGAGAGTCTATATAAACCATTAAAACTATGAAGTATCAGTGAATCACCTGTTAAATCCATTAAGAATTTGCTAATAACTGAAATTTATTTGAAAGTAATTTGAAAGATTATCACCAATCACAACATTTTCAGCAGGTGTCCCAGCAAGAAGGCCTCAACAACTGGGACATCAGGGAGGACATACCAGACGACTTTCAGTTTTCCAGTCAGCTGAAGTTTCAGAGGAAAGCAGTGCAAAGTCAAGCAACCATGATTTTGCACAAAAGCAAGAAATCTGACATGCACCTTTAGCACAGTGAAATCCTGGTAGTAAGAGGCAGCATCGAGGGCAGGGTCAGTCACGCAGCTCTTGCTCAAATCGGCAAAAATCCGAGTACAGCTTGTACTTTTACTGTCCAGGAAGCCTGAGTTAAGACATGACAACAGATCAAACAGAAGCAAATCACCCTAAGATGTTCTTCCCCCTTTACTAACCAGCAGGATTTCCATCAACACAAAGTCCACTGGCTCCCATTTTTACTGGCTGTCTGAGCGTGCTCAGTACAGATGATGAATCAAAGTAGATTAGGATTGGATCTCCAGCCTGAAAAGACAATTTGGAGAAATCACAAAGTTACTGTGGAATACAAGGTGATGTCATCATCAGGGCAGAGAGACAAATCAGGGAACGGCTGGAGCTGTGCCAAGGCAGGGCTAGGGTGGATCTCAGGAAAAGGTTCTTCCCCCAGAGTGTGGTTGGGCACTGAACAGGCTCCCCAGGGCAGTGGGCACGGCCCCAAGGCTGACAGAGCTCAAGGAGTGTTTGGACAACACTCTGAGGTACAGGGTGGGATGTTTGGGGTGTCCTGGGCAGGGCCAGGAGTTGGGCTGGATGATCCTTGTGGGTCCCTTCTAACTCAGGATATGCTACAATTCTGTTACAATATGGTTTATAGGTACAAAAATAAGACTCCTTCAATCTGTTGTCCTTAGATCTCATCAGACAGCTTTAGTAGAAGTGTATGTGCAACCTGATTACGATTTCAACTCACACGGTAAAAAGCAGAGAACGATGGCTGGACTTGTGACGGTGCTATGAAAGAATGTCTGCCATACTTCTCTAAGAACTTCATAAAATCAGATTCTTTGATATCCTGGGGCTGTTGGAAATAGTTCAGCTTTGCTAGAGTTTGAAAAGAGAAAAAAAAAGAAATCTTCCAATGTCAAATTACGACAAAAGGTAAAAGTAAATATTGTGCCAATATTTTTAAAAGAAACAGCTTCAGTAATTGTAAGATAGATAGTGCCTTATATTAATTAACCCAACTTAACACTTCTAACAGGCTAATATGGTCTAGGAATAGGATGGCATCATGAGTAGTTTGTACTGTTAATGATTCATTAACAGATGTTAATACACAAAATGACTTTCCAAAAAGCATGAAAAGTCCTTTACAGCTATTTTAATAGGTGCTGTCATTTCTGTGAGATACCCAAATTAGACACACGTGACATTTTAATTACAAAGCACTACCAATTTATGAGATCACTAAAAGCAAGATTAAATGGATTCAAAATAATTAAGGTTGGTAAAACTCAAAGGTAAGTATAAATAGACAATAGGCATCCTAAAACCCAGACTTTTGCATGGTATTCCACAGTGATTCCCTCTTGACCCAGTGGTATTCAGTAGTTTAGTTACAATGCTGCAACATATTAAATTATTTCTGCTAAAACACTGTTATAAAATGGCAAATTATTAAAGATGTGCTATGCAGACTCATCAACGTGCTTGTTCAAACAAAAAACTTTTCAATACATCCAAATAAAACATCTTACAAGGTTCGAGGACCAGAGATCCTACCAACAACAAGTGTCAGTATTCTCAGTTACAGCAGTACCAAAAAGAATTTAAGTAATCCAGTAGGTTTTGGGGAAAAAAACATACATTAAAAAAACCAAACAAAGAAGCTTTCAATGTAATTCTGCTGTTTAAGGGCAGAGCAGATGCTTAGAGGAACAGTGGAGCAAGCAGAAACAAAAGCTTCTGAACATCCAAATACAGCATTAATCAAGCAGTCAAGTAAACCTTTGAAGGAGATAGAAGTCAAAGGAATATTAAGCTCCTACAAGGTTCACAAAAGTAGGTGCACAGAGCACCTTGCTTAACAATCACTTGAGGGTATAATCGTTAGACTGAAAAGGAAAACATTTGTAGTTGTGCTCTGAATGTACACAAAACATTCAGGCAGCATCTGTCAAGAGCTGAGAAGCAGCACTGGATAGTATGAAACTAACCCTGCTTTGACCAGCTGCTGCACCCGTTAACCTCCTGAGCCCTACCCAACCTAAAATGCTCGTGGGTTTAGGTCAGAAGTAGCTGGGACTGTGGGTCAAAACTCCCAGAAAAATGACTCAAAAGAGAAAATGGTGTGTTCAAATGTAAGACTCTACTAAATAATAATGAACGCTGGAGAGTTGGACGTTGAATCAGTCAAATGAAATACAATGTGGAAACAGGAAAAGTGTGTTAATGGCATATCCTAAAAGGCTATATGGTTACCAGTGAAAAAATCATTGCCAGACAAGAAGATCAAAATAAGCACATATAATAAATAATACAAAATACAGTAAATCACTTTCTGAAAAGGATAATAGTGAGATGTTTCAAACGTCCTTACTTGCTGCTGTACCAAACTAAGTAAAGTATCTCAGATACACAAGCAATCGATAAAGGCTGATTTGTGCTTAGCCAGAAACCCTACCCTTACACAGAGTGCAATCATCTTTATTTGTGTTTGCCTTTGGTGATCAGACCCCAATTCATTAAGCTCTCTCTGGAACAGCCAAAATAATTATAACATAATCAGTTTAAAAAAAAAAAAAAGATTCCCTAAGCAGAGGCAATCTATGAACGAAATGCATGAGAAGGTTACTTACAGTCATTCAGCTGCACACAGAACAGATCGTGTCCACCAGGGACAGCAATGATCTCTGTAGGATAAGGGGTGTTACTTCTGAAAATGAGTGACTTTTCCACACACACTTGACTCACAGACCTGCAAAGACAAGCCCCCCACACCCAGCAAACTGTTAAAAAGGCTACCCTTGCAAAATTTCCTATTTTACATTACTCAATGCCAGCAGCAGAACACAGTATTACTTTTCACCAGTTTAGATGTGCTGTTGTACAACCTGCACTCATAGTCAATTACAGAAAGCTTCTCTTGTCATTGCAGTAACTTTTCTGGAGGCTTTCTATTACTATATTCAGAAATCACTCTGAAACTCCCTGGAAGAAAAAGTGGTAAAAAAATTCAGTGTCCATGCATCATAGCTGCTGTCGGTCCTCATTCCCAAACGCAATCTGCAGACAGATTTTACTCTGCAGTAGCCGAAACCATCCTCCTCACTGACGGAAATCTCGCGGTCTGTACTTGCTGGACCGCCTCCCCACCGTACAAAGCTCCTTTCACTACGACCGAACCTCCCAGCTCCCATCGCGTAGTGAGCGAGCCGCGCTCCTCCCGGCCCGTCGCGGTGCCGGCCCCGGGTGTCCCCTCCCAGCCGCCGGCGCTGTGCCGGTGCCCCGGGGCCGCGGCCTCCGCGCAGCCAAACGCGGGAGGCCGAGCCGCGGTTCCATCCCGGGCCCGGTGTCCCGGGAGGCGGGTGCCCGTGCCCGTGCCCACCTGGTGCGGGCGGAGCGGCGGGCCGAGCCCGCGGGGCTGCGGGCGGGCAGCAGGGCCAGCAGGGCCGGCAGGGCCAGCAGCGCCCCGGCCCCGCGCATCGCCCCGCCACGGCCCCGCAGAGCCAGCGCGCCTGCGCCGCCGGGCGGGCCCTGCCGCGGGGGGAGCCCTGCCGGCCGCTCGTGTTATCCCACACGCGGGCCTTTACGGCCGTAAAAATAAAAAGACAGGCGATGACAGTGCCTTTGATCGCAGCCACGTCGGTCAGCCCGCCTGGAAGCACGGATTCGTGGCATTACGTTAGTACGCAGCTTGGGAATAAAGGGGATGTGTGTCTGTCTCCACAGTCATACATAAATATCTTCAGGGTGCATAAGGAGATGGGACAGCACCCTCAGGACAGATTGTAAAGTTGGCCCTAAGCTCTCTCTGACCGCGGAGCCGAAGGAAACGAGCAACAGACGAGAAACTGCTATGGAAAACCACTTTTGTGCTCTCTTACATGTTAAAGAAACACATTACAGAAAAGCCCTCTGAGAAGGACAAACTTGTAACACATGAAATGTTTGAATCTGCAAGCACACAGAGCAAACCAGTGGTTCCTTTGACATTCTGTTCTATTCTCATTACAGAGTCCTAGGTTAGTACTATTTCCCATTCTCTCTAGGGTCACCTTGCCTGTAGGAGGACTGGAATATCAGGCACGTTATCCAGTACCTCATCTATTCAAGGAAAGTAAAAGAATTCCTATAAAAGGCAAATGGAGTGTGAAGTAACCTCCCTGATGCACTTTTGTTTGACCATTTATAGGAGATGTTCTATTTTTAAAGTTTTTATTATGTTGGTTAACATGATGACAATCTCTTTATTTGTACAAACAAAGGTGACTTTAGTGACAGTAAAGGACACAGCAAAAGCTATCAGTAATTACTCACTGATTTTTATCAAGTGTCAGCAAGTCATAACTGTTGTTGGGTAACAACTGGGAGGATGAATACCTATTTCTTAGTTTCCAGGTTTGAGTACCAGTCATTCTATAATGGGTTACAATTTAAGAAAAGTCAGAAAGTTTCGCTAAGTAATATATGACCATCATCCAAATCTACACTTTTTAAAAAATCAGTTCTTTGATTTCCTTTCAGTTTATTTAAAAATTAATTAAAATGGGTGATTTTGACATGGTCTCATTTGTTTCCTTTCTATATTTTCCTAGTCATTTTACTATGACATAATTAGTAGATGTTAATAGTCACTTTTGTATCACAAACCGTGTGATCATTTTTCATTATGTAGCCAGTAATTTTTCATTGAAATTGGGGATAATACAGCCAGACTCTTAGCACAGGTATTTAATGAGGATGAATAATAAATGGAATAATTTGAGACTTTACATTATGGTGGTGCCATTTTGACTACTATCTACATTTCAGAAGTGCTTCTTCCTGAGTCAGTAGAGCTTCCACATATTGATTATTCTGTCAGGACACACTAGTCCTACCTCTGTCTGGGATTTCACCATAGACATCCAGAAGTGTCTGGCCTGTAGCTGAGTCCTGCAAGAGGTACAAAGTTTGGTACAAACATTGTATTCATATAATGGTAAGCCAGAGTAAGCCACTGTTATTACTACCTAACATCATTACACATGACCAATATATTGCTTTCTGCTTCAGAAATCGACACAGGTTTGCCATATGGTTCTCCTTCCTTGCCCACCTAGTTTTCAGATAAGTTTTATTTGTGTTCACTGACATTTATAGAAGCAAGATAGTTACTTAATTTAAATGGGCTGCGTGGCCTAGGGGTAGTAGTACAGGTAAGGTTTAAGAACGAGTCTACTCCTGAATTCTGTGCAAACCCTTGCATGGAAACGCCCTGCTGGTACACAATTTCAGTTTAGCTCGAAGTGCAAAGGGCTCAGGTTTAAAACTGCATTTATATATGTAAGCCTTCAATTGTCTTCATGACTATGATGATTTCCCTCTCAGAATCCTGCATGATCAGGTAGTTGAGAGGCAGTGGTTAAAGTTTAAACACTTCATTTGGTATGTCTTGATGTCAGTGCAGTCAGGCAGTTTCCTTTTTTTTCTTTTACTGCCTCTTTTCTGGACTGTTGTTCTCTACAGGTTTATTTATCCTTTACGTCTTCTTCCTGCGCTGGCAGATATGGTCCAAATGCCCTTGGGCATTTTGTTCTGCTTCAGACCAAAGCTTCAGCGGCGGGCGGCGTTTGCTTTATTTCAAAAAGTTTCACGTTAGAAGCTTGCAAGACGGGGACAAAAGCTGCCGGTGAGAGCACTTTTTCGTGCCGCTTCCACCCTCGGGAAGCCACCAGTCATTACCGGTGCCACCCGCCAGCCCGAGACCGGGGCAGGCCCGGCCTCACCGGGGTCGGGGCCGCGGGGGTGGCGAGGCCAGAGGGGCAGGAGGTGCGCCCGCCTGCTGTGGGAGCGCTGCTGGGATACCCTCGTGTGTTGTGGGAGCGCTGCCGGGATACCCTTGTGTGTTGTGGGAGCGCAGCCGGGATACTCGTGTGTGCTGTGGGAGCGCTGCCGGGATACCCTCGTGTGTTGTGGGAGCGCTGCTGGGATAGGCGTGTGTGCTGTGGGAGCGCTGCCGGGGTACTCGTGTGTTGTATGAGCGCTGCTGGGATACGCGTGTGTTGTATGAGCGCTGCCGGGATACGCGTGTGTGCTGTGGGAGCGCTGCCGGGATACGCGTGTGTGCTGTGGGAGCGCTGCCGGGATACGCGTGTGTTGTGGGAGTGCAGCCGGGATACGCGCGTCCTGCGGTAGCCGGGAGCTGGAGCGGCCGGGGCCGGCCCTCCGGCGGGCAGCGCTGGCAGACAGCCCCTTCGGCTGCCCGGGCCGGCGCTCGGAAGGGCTCCTCGGGCAGGCCCCGCAGCCGCGGGGGTGAAGCCCCGAGCGGGCGCGATGGCGGAGCCGGCCGTGAGGGAGCGGCTCGGCGCCGCAGAGCGAGGCCGAGGTGAGCGGGCGGCCGGCGGCTGCCACCTGGTGCCCGTCTTTATTTTAAATAAAGGGGGAAACGTCACGATTTAAACGCGAAAACGGCTTGGTCCTAATTTGTTTTCTAAGTGAGCCGCGCGTGTGGAGGAAGCATTCTTTCTCCGAATGCTTTTAAGCATGCTTCTTGGCTGGGCAAAGAAGTAAGTGCTGTAGTGTACAAGATCTAGCGTTCCTCCAGTCAAGTTCACTTCGTAGAACAGATTTGAGGATTTCTGTGCCAACAGAAAGAAGACTGTTGAGTTTATGTAATTGTGAACTAGGGATTCCGAGTAGTAGTAGATTCACTTTCTAGTATGCTAATTTTAGTGATTTCAAATAGCAAGACTTATTAATGCTTCATCCTAGAATCATATGACTTTGAACAACGTGTGTTTGAGACTATTTTTCTTAAACATTCTTAATTCTGTGAAGGAAAGACAGCATATCACATAGCTCATTTGAATGCAATCAAGTCAGTCAATCCACCTTGAAGAATAAATTCTTTATTCCTTATTTACTGCAGATGTTCAGGCTTTGAAGAATGCGTACGAGTTGATCAAATCAGCCAATGAAGAAAAATTTGCACTTGACTCAGATAACTTCAGCACCGACTTGTATGTTTTATGTGCTGAACAAGCACTTCAGGTTTGTAACTTAAACAATGTATCTGTATTGAATAAAAACATGTATACAACATACTGTGTTTACAGTTGTTAAAGTTACTGCCTCAAAAACAATCCCAGAATTAGCTGAGGGAAGTATCATGCTCTTTTGGCTTTGGAGAGCAATTGTTTAAATGTGCATTTTCCCTTAAAAAGTATCACATTTTTATAGTCAGTCATCAAACTGTGGTTTGTGAAGTTTGCAATTAGACCAAAATATGCAAGGTATACCGTAGTATATATAAAATAGTTTGCCATGTTTGTTTTTTCTTGTTATGGAAAACTTAAAGTTAGCAGTTTAGTTATGACTGAAGGAAATGTGTCTGTGAACAGACCCTACCAGCCAAAAAAAAAAGGAAGACTCTAATACATTCTAATTCTGAAACTTCTGGTTTTTTTCCCCAGAGCTGCAATCCAATCAAATTCTGTGGTCTGAAAATTGAGGTGTAGCAATGACATCCAAACAAAATCCTGCTAGCTAATATCCATACTTTTAAAAAAGTTCTGTTAAGAATTTTGTCTCTATATTAACAATTGTGTTAAGAAAGGAAACATTTTTGAATACTGTAAGCAGTTATGTGATTGACTGAGGAGTTTTGTTAAATAAGGCAGCTATCTTTTTACATTTATGTTTGGAATGACAAAAATATGCCTTCAAATTTTAGTAAATTTTAATGGGCTTGTACCACATCTGGTCCAAGTCTGCATCTTTGTGTAATATTGCTTGCATACTGGTGTGCAGCTGGATGTCACCCTTTGATTAGGCATGCATTTTTAGAAGCTAATAGTTCTTAATTGTTTGTTGCATTTTTTAACTATTAAAATGCTTTTTTTGGGTCTTAGATGGGATATCCAGAAATGAGCAGTGACTGTCTACAGATGTATTTTAAATCAAGATATCCTGTGAACCAGTTTCTTGGCAGAGCCTATTTGTGCCAAGGCCAGTTGCATGCTCTACACTCTACAGATAATTTGGTGAGAAGTTATAAAGGTTGCTTTATATTGAGCCAGTTTTTAGGAGTATTTATTCCTAGGTTTTAATGTATTGCTTTCAGCTATTTTAAATACACAAGGACAATCAGAACTGCGGGAAAAATAAAAGGAAAATATATTGAGTAGTTTGTGAGTAAACAAAACCAGATGAATAAGACTAACATTCCAAATATTTTGGGAAGGACAATAAAAAAGAAAGCTTGCAGAAGTTTTCAAGTAGTTGATTGTTTCGAAGTCAACCTTTTCACTTTTTATGTGATACTTTCACTTAAATGTGATACTTTCAGACCGAATTTAGCTGTAACTCCTAAAGTGATTACCAGTTTTATTCAGGAAGCATTTCACAGGCTTGTGGGAAGGGAAGGACTGAAGAAGAGAGGTTGCACAGTTACTTCCTGTGGCAGTGTGCTTCTAGCACTCATCAGTAATGTTTCCATGTAGTACTTTGGATGTGG